GCTTATGCTTGCTTCCCTCTCATACTTGGCTCTCCTCCTGGTGTTTAACAGAGGCTGAATACAGTTATTATGGAACACACATACCGGGAAGATATGATATTGCCATAGCTGCTTCTTGAGCCTGAAGAGCATTGCTGGTAAAGTGGGTTGCACGAAAGTTAGAAGTATTTTTTTTACTCTATATCTACTAGGCAGCCAAGAAATTTCCGTAAGCTCATTTGAATATACCCTGCAATGGATTAATTGAGCAAGTGACTTTAATATTGCTCCTCTATGGTGCCACCTATCTCTGTTCAGAGGCGTGTCAGTAGCCTGCAGCAAGATTTTATACCTCTGCAGAACCAGCCTGTTCTTTGCCTCATCTTCGCCAGAGTTTCTCTGCTCCATCTGCAGCTGCCTAGACTGCATGTCAGGGATAAACTTTAAGGTATCCAATTCCTTAACTGGTTTGGAGATAAGGTTTTCCATTAAGCTTTTTAGTTCATCTATTTTTTGTTAGCATCTAGGAGGTGGTCAAATATTGCGACTACTGTTTGTGCTGTTAGGAGGCAGTTCTTAGCAGCCAAATCAAAATCACCGTTAAAGTTTGTTCTAGTATGGACAATATCCTCCCCTCTGTCACTTTTGACTGCCTTGTTTTCGGAATTAGAGCACTCTTCCACATCCCAATCTAATGAAGAGGAGAGGTTGTTATCAGGGGATACAGGAGTCGAAGGTGAAGGAAAATAGGACTTACGTTTAGCACCCTTAAGCTGTAATAAATCACTTATCTTTGGCTGTCTGGTGGTCATCTCTGCTTTGCCTTGCTTGTGATGTTTTCCTAGATGAGTGTCTTGTGAGTACCATGTTTTGATTTTTTTTCTCAAGGTCCTTTTCATTTCTAATTTATGTTTCCGTTTAATGATCCTTGTTTATCATTAAAATTATGCTGATACCCCCGAGAAGTAGAATAAACTGTGAGAGAGCTGTTCACAGCAGCTGCTACTCTAATGCCATCTTGGACTGCCCTCTCCCCTGTACAGAGTAAGAAAAGGGGAAAAGAATTTGGGGCCACAAGAGCAAGTGTGGGTGAAGGGGGGCACTGAGTAATTGAAAACAGGCAAAGTATTCTGTCCTGGGGGGGGGGCAGAAAGATGCTTGACATCTCCAAATAGAAAAAGACTCCCTATAAGAGTGGTTAATGGTTGTCTTTTTGTTCAGTAGACTTCAGTAGGAACTCACGAGTATGGCAGTCATCTCAGGAGGAGTTTTCCAAGCTCTTGAGTTGGGGCATGAATCTGTTTAAATCATGGATGCCTACGCTTACTGAAAATGCTTGCCTCTTCCTCTCGCTGACCGCTGCATATACTGACATTTCAACTACCAGATTGACATCGCTGAACAGCAGTATAACCATTGGGTCTACACATCTATGCCTCATCACTGGCAAGGAAGATTCCCTGTCTACACAAAGCCACTGGATGACTCTTGTGACTCTTGTGACTCTTTTGACTTTGTGAGAGAGTGGGCATGCAATCAGCACTCTCTAATTCTCATCTAAAACTCTAAATGTACTTTTTATTGTTGATATACCATGTGTCTACAGTACGTACAATGGGCAAGCAAAACCCCTCAAGTGAAACTCAGGGCATCCTGCGGAAGACTGGGCATGTAGATTGTAAGAGATAGCTTGCAGGGGTGGATTGCCCTGTATTCAACCGCCTAAGCCATTTTCTTTCTCCATCCTGAAGGCATGGGATCTTTCTAATACCTTCC